GGAATAAAAAGTAATGAGATAACTATCTAAATAATGCATATACAGTGAATAATACATGTTACTTTTCTTGCATTATGTAAATACATTTATATTAAAAATCCCACTATCCAGTTAGTAAAAAAAAAAAAAAAAAAAAAAAAAATCTTTGGAAAAAAGTTAATAAAATTGATAGGAGAAATAAAATTTATTTAAAAAATTAATAAAATTTGAGAATAGTCTGTATTTCTTACTATAGATAGTAGAGATGTGGAGATTAATCTCTTTTTATAGCAGATCTCAATCATGTGCAAAAATATACTGACTAGTAAAAGAAACACCCATGGTCTTATCACTCAGCTTTAACAATGGTCAATTCATAGCTAACCTTTCAACCACTCATTGATCTACCCAATCCCTCCCTGTCCACCCATCCCATTCCCTGTGCCCCATGTGCCTTGGATTGCAAAGAAAATCCTAGGCATCGTATCGTTTCATCTACAAATATTTCAGTATGGATTAAAAAATAAGGGCTCTTTAGCAACATCACTGTATCATTATAACATACCATACAATGAAATGTAATTCTTAATTTCATCAAATACCAGGCCAGTATTGAATTTTCTTGGTTGTCTCAAAAGGTTTGTTTGTTTCAAACAGAATCCAAATACAATCCATACATTGCAACTGATTAATACTCTTAGGTTTAATTTATATCCAAAGTGGATTTTTGATTGCAAGATACTGGAGGCCCAGAAAAATAAATAAGAAAGTAAGATTTTGAATTTTTGATAGAAAGCACAGATATTTTCTGAGTTATTTGCATGGACAATAGTCTTATTCAGCCACAAGAAAAAGAAACTAAGAAGCCCTAAATAGAGTATAATATAGGCATCTTAAGGATTTGGTTTGGTATCATGAGGCTTTTTTTTTTTTTTTTTAGGAAGTAAAAGTGTCTCTGGCTTATGCTCAGTTATGCTTTGTGACTAAAAATCTCAGTACTGGGGTAGTCTAATGGATGTTAATGTAAACTGGCTTTTTTTCTTGAGTGTCTGTGCATTTTTTGGGTAAGTGTTTAGAGGTTTAGCTAACTAAACTATGTATCATCCCAGTAAGCTGTAATGTGTTAGTAGCTATATTATCCTATCGAGATGGTATGGGCAACCGTTCATGTTCTCTTAGCTAGTTGGTGCCTGACAAGAGTGGGAGGTGGTGGTCTTAAGGAAGAAAGTAGCACAGGTAAACACAAGCGAAAACTGTTGTGTTTTTGAAGCTGATAAAAAAGCAGAGACTTTTAAGCCTGGAATATTTTCTTACTACTCATTCATTTTAATATTGACAAAGGAATGTATCATTTCACTTAGGAAAATGACTACATTAATTCATACTTTGAAGATGGAGATGATTTTGGCGCAGACAGTGATGACAACATGGATGAAGCAACCTATTAGGCATGAAATTTTTCAAAAAATATTTTTATGACGCAGCTTCTGAACATTTGGACAGACTTGATTTGTATTTTGTCTCTGATAAGGAACAAATATTTATTTTTGTTTTGTTTTGTTTTGTTTTGGACAAATATTTGTTACCAAAATATTCAAAACCACTTTGAGTTTACATACTAGTTACCTTACAAATTAGTCCCTGACATTCTGACATTCCTTCTAAACACCTCTGCCATCTCTCTCACGTACTCTCATGGATTTTTTTTTTATTATTATTTGAATATGAATGTGCCTAAAGAATTTTTGCTCTATTATAATCTATGTCTATGTACTTGAAGAAATCATTCTTGCTTAACTGCTGATCTTTTGTAAAACTACTGCTAGTCATAATGGATTTCTATAACCTGAAAGTTGATATAATACAGCACATGGAGCACTTTAAAAACAAAGAAACTTGAAAATAATTTTATTTTTTACCTTTACATGGTGTGTTCTAGACTACTGCATTATGACTACATAAACCTACCTGAGCTCTTACAAGTACAGAATTGTGAGATAGAGGTTTTGTGATGGAAAACATACACACAGGGAAAAATACCAAACTGAGCAATATGAATGTCACAACTCACATCTTAGCCAGTACAAAGAAACTCTCACATGGGGTGAATATTATAAATACTTGAATTTGGGACTAACTTAATACTGTATGATATATGAATTAATCATCCCACTGTAATAACTGACATCTTCAAATAGTTGGGCTTATGAAAAATTTGACTAAGACATTTTATTTAATTTTATATTTTATGTAAATGTGAAGTAAGTTCTGGTCATATAAATACCATGTAGAATGCATGTGTGTGAACTCTATGAAGTGTGGTGGCCTTTTATGTTTCAGAGTACTCAAGCTGTACAATTGATTTATATAAAAATGCAAAATGAACTCAGGTCATTTTGAAATTAAGATTAATTTTTTTGTTGTTTAACTTCAAAGCTAGCTCTCCTAACTTTATATTTTGGGAAAAATACCTAAAAACCTCAGCCTACAAAGACTCTCACAAATGCCAAAGATTTTCAAGGAAATTCATATTATATATTTCAAAAATGATTTATCAATGTTATCTACTAAAAGAGATAATTTTATTTTTTCCTTTTGGGAAGATATTATTATCCTCTAATGTGAGAATCAGATCCCTAGATTCTGTTTCTACCTGTACTATTAAACTCAACCTTGAACCTGAGCTTGGTTGTTTCTGTGCCTTAGTTTCTCTACTCGTAAACAATTTCCTATAAAAATTGTTTAAACACCAACCAAAATTTACCATATGTATTCATTCTCTTGCCTTAAAGATCAGTTCTTAATTTACATTTGGCCCTCACCCTCTAAAAATTTGTAGTTTGGAGAGTAACTGAAAACACAATTTTAAGAAACATGTTTTCCTCACAAAATATCTTATTTTCCTATCTTGTATTCATGCAGAAAATTGGAGAAAATGTGTATTGTCTTGTGCCATTTTGCAACATGAATTTCTCAGGAAAAAGATCACTTTCAATGGCAATACTTTCTTAAGTAATTCAAGATGGGTGTGAGGACCTATCTTATTAGTTTAGAGCTGTGTTAACCATTTGTGAATTACTTCTTGTTTAAAGGAAGTTGTCAAAAAATTTTTAAGATTCTAAATGGAATATATGAATAAAGCCGTAGAATAGAAACCTCACAAAAAGTTGTCATTTGCAGTTGATAATTAACATAGGTGTTTTATTCTTTCAACTCCTTAGTACCAGAGCCAAATACCATTTAGTTCTCGGAAATCTTATCAATATTGTTCTGTTTACTTACTTACTATAAATCTGCAGATAACCACTTGAACCAGGCAAATACACTGAAGATAAAGGTTATTTCTTTTTTTAGCTTTGAATTTGTCATGACAATTTTAGTCTTGCAGATAGCAGGGCAGCCCCTTAGGGCAAGGATTTACTCTGGGAGGTACCAGCCATACCCTTTAAGAGCTTTCTTTCCCCCTTTGAAAGATCTTTTTACAATGTTAAAGTATAGTAGTTGTGAGAACAAGCAGGATTTGCAGGTTGCTTTACCAGCATGAATCTCATTTTTCTGGCTTAAAATCTGAGACTGTGAAATTATTCCATAGGAAAGTGAATGTTATTTTGCAGAATTAGCCTGTTACATAAAAGTATTTGTTGAAGTGTCTTTAAAATTGCTATCATGAGCAAAACTGTTTGGTTGCTGTAATGCTTATTTTTCTGTATTTATTTACACATTAAATTCTTACAAAATTGTGTTCGTTTTATAGTAAGATATTTTGTTTTGAACTTATTTAAATGTTTATTTGGGAGAGAAAACTAATTTGTTAATACAGATCTTACCTAGTAACTATGTATTAAGCAGGGATGCTTGTTCCAAATAGTCTTGAATAAACAATCACCACAAACAACAAAACTCTGGGTAATGATTATTCAAAAAAGTTGTGAGACGGGCATGCTGGTCTGTGCCTATAAGTCCCAGCTACTCAGGAGGCTGAGGTGGGAGGACTGTTTGAGCTCAGGAGGTCAAGGCTTCAGTGGGCCAAGAGGAAGCTGAGGTGGGAGGACTGCTTGAGCCCAGGAGGTTGAGGCTTCAGTGAGCCAAGATGGCAACACACACACACACACACAGTTATGACAACAAACTTAAGAGATTTGGCAGACAATATAATTTAGTGTGATCATTCGTGCTTGGGCTGACTTATACTGGATACCAGAGAATGTTAAGACATTCAGAAGATTCTTGTTAAACTTTTCACTTCACTACCTTCAAATGTAGTGTCCATGGAGATTCTTGTTAAACTTTTCACTTCACTACCTTCAAATGTAGTGTCCATGGCTTTGCTTTTACATGGTTAAAATCTCAAGCCTGTGTGGTGGCATGTGCCTGTAGTCCCAGCTACTTGGGAGGCTCACATGGGAGGATCAATTGGCCCCAGGAGTTCGAGGCTGCAGTGAACCATCATGCCACTGCACTTCAGCCTGGGCGACCAAGCAAGAGTCTGTCTCAGAAAAAAAAAAAAAAAAAATTAAAAAATAAAACCCCTGTAGTAAAAATTTCCATTTGATTTAAAAAACACAATTTTAAGATCAAGATGCATTTGAAAATGGGAAAAAGAAAAAAACAGGGTTTATACACATTCCTCCATTAAATAAAAGCTCCGAAGACCTTTCTCAATTTTTCTGCTAAGCATCTTTTAAACAGTATTCTTGAGGTTGTTTTATAATAAATTAAAACTACATATAAATAGAGCAGGTTATAATCTGTAGATAATGACTCATCTACAACTTCATAGCAATTCCTGGACCATGCCTTAACAGATCTTACCCTGAGGAAAATCCCCCAAAGAACATTCATCTAAAATGTTTTATCTATGTCTTAGAGATAATCCAGGGTATTCTGCCTCACTGTAGCAAATAGGAAATCTGAATTGGTAAACCTCTGGCAATTTGCTGTATCTTACATAATATCTCTGTATTCGTTTGAGAGTAGAGGAGAAAAGCTTTGCTTTATTCAATTAAATTCACTGGCTTCCATTTTAGATTGAATAATAGAAACTTTATTACATGTTACAGATCTTTCAAAATATGAAAAATAAGGGGCAAAAAATTTTAAAAACATTTTACAGATGTACATGCTAACATAATGTTCTAGTTACATTTGTATAAAATACATTATACAAAAGATTTATAGATTTTGCATACATAAAAATTAAAGCATTCAGATATTTCTATGATCTAACAGTGCAATATGCACATACGTGGAAGAAAATACTGATTACCTGAGCAACATTTTTGTAATTCAAATAAAAAATGAATCCCATCAGTGCACCATTTAAATACAGACTTTAAAAGACTCCATTTTTATCCTGTAACACTGACTAGATCCTTGCTTCATGATATTTCTAAAACTAAGCGTATCCTTCATATTTCCAACTAGGTAATTTTAGAAGTAAATACTTTAAATTAAAAAGAACTAATTACTAAGTAGTGGTTCATTTAAAAAAAAACTTCAGGACACTGAGCCAAGCAGGTAGAGTCCAGCAAAAGAAAAGCTATAAATAAAGTCCTTTGGAGAAGATAATTTAACATGAGTCTTCTAATTTTTAATGTGGCCAGCAGAGTCTATAACCACTTTTAACATACCTTTTGAAAACAGGAACCCCATAACTTCCTAGGAGTGGGATAGCAATTTTATTTTAACCCAGACTTCATAAAACTATCAGCTTTTTCTTTACTTGCTAACTCCAAAATTTTAAGTGAACCAAATGCAGTAATTCTGCTGTTACTTTTACATTGCATACAAGTGCATGCGTGCACACATGCAGACACACACACAGGCCACACGTAAAGCAGCAGATTCAAATAAGGGTGTCAACACAATTAAAATCACAATGTTAAACAATAACTGTGCTTGTTAATTAGTTATACAAGGTAATTTGCATTTGATACAAACTTAACTTACATTAGTACTTTTTAGAAACTAAAATTATTCCAAATGTTTTAAATGCTTAGAAAATTCTTTTCTACACGGATAAGAACTGTAATTCAATAGGTAACCTTTATACAGAATTATATGTAACTCAAATTATATTCAATTAATTCAAAAATATATAATTTAAATATAGAAAAAAGAAAACTACCTGATGTGTTATAAGGATGTATATTTCCTTCAAAAAAGGATACTCTGCAAGACAAATGGTTTTTAATCAACAAATACACAGCACACCTTATTCCTTTAAAAATAAGTAACATATTTTGGAAATCGAACCCATAACAATTTCAAAGTACAACTAGCAAAAAGGTAAGGAATCACTGACTGTAATTTCATCAATTTGATGTAAACAAAGTTCTTCAAAGGACACCTGGCCTGTTTACCCTAAAATAATCTGCATTTTCTTCCTTAAAACCTCATTTTTCAGCAGGCTTAATAAATACAATGTAAACTGACCAGTTAACACTGAGCATAAATTATATCACACTTTTCTTTTCAAGATGCCCAAGGCACATTAAAACTATTTTTTAAATGTTTAATTTGCTAAGAGAACCAATTTGTAACTTCCCTATTAAACACTTGTTGGTAATTGTCTAAGGTCCTCTAATATTTGCAAAGGCTTTAATGTTTGACTTCTTTGTCCTGTCTTTTCCTGATGGTCTTCTGAAAGTACATAAAACTCCACTTGCCATAAATATTTACTTATTCCGACTGAAATTTGAAATATATAAAATGACTTATCAAAAGCCTAAAACATCAACAATTAGGAAATAATGCCCAGAAAATGAGGTGGTATTATATATCTTAAGTATATATTATATACAAAACAGGCAATCCAGACTCCACCAAATCTCATTTCTATTGAAGAATCATTCTGGTTACATTTTTAGAACACATACTTTTAAAGATTAAATGATGGAATCAGTATGCAAACGCTTCTTCCTTAGCCAGACTATAGCCGACTCAACAGATCTTAAAAAGAGGCACTATCACGCCCTTTTCAAGCAATCTATACACCTTTGGCCTTTGTTTCCCAATTTGATGCTACATGTATAGTTCAGGAAAAAAGTCTAAATTGGGTATTTTCTCTTTGAAAACAGAGGTTAAGGGATTACTAATTTGTCTGTTACAGTTAATATAAAAGACCTCTACTCATTTTTGCCTAATGAACCGTTTTCTTCAACAGACCTCAGACAGTTTTGACCCAATTATTTGTGCTTGATGGTGAAAATGGAGACAAATTTATATAGCCTATGTAACGCATCTGACTGGACCATCTGAAATAATGCTTAATTTTAATTCTGAAACTTGGATTTACTTACATAAAGCAGTAAGGCATTAAATATAATTAAGGCATGTTACTGTATGTAACAGCAATGATTTATCACAGTATATAAGGAATTATTTCTTAAATAATGGTAATATGTACATGTTTAACATATTTTTCATCATCAAAACTACAAAAGTGCTTTCAAATATCAGAGACAAATATAATCATTTTAAAAACAGATGCACAGAGGTGAGGTTAAAGGGTCTGTCCTAAAGAAAGCATTCTTAAGACAAAAATTACTGTCAGGTCTTCACCTATTCCAGTGTTCTACTGACTTCCCAACCATAATACATTATTTTGGGGTCTTGAAAATATTTTAATCTATTTCTTGGCCTCTGTTGTAGGAATTATAAATCACTTTCACCTTTCTCTTTGTATGTATGCTTTCATAGTACATGTGCTAAATGTAATTTTTAAAGGTTTTGAAGTGGTGTGTTACATATGCTACCATGAATAATTTTAGAATCAAACTTTCTTGCAACTGAATATTTTAGGGGTTCATAGTAGTAAATTTTTTTCAGCTGCAGATAACTGATGCTATCATTCTGCATCATAAATTTAACATTAATAAACTTCTTAAAAATTACCTAAAAAAAAAATTTTAACATACATCTTAAGAAAAATGATACATCTTCCAAGTTAAGAACTTCCTAAACACAGGTTTAAATTAATTTCTGCTTGAAACATTGACACACCAGATTTATGGATCAACTGCTCTCAACATCAACTAGTTGCTCAAAAAATGTTCAAAGTGTGAAATCCTTTTGTTAAAAACAAAAGCATCTCAATCTCTCTAAATTCTGCCTTTGAAGTGATTATTGGATATAACTGATTCACCACATTCCAGATGCACATGTGACTACTAACGTTTGATTACGAACTAATTGCTATGTTTCGTGTTGAGCAGCAGGTGACTGAGAATCTTGACTATACAGTTTATTATCATCTTGTTGGCCGAAATGTATTCCTTTAGTTGGCACAATTCCATTTTCCATTTCTCTCTGCTGTGATGGGGGTGTGATTTTTGAATGTAAATGTGAAGAGTCCACTGTTGAATGATGACTAACATCCACCTTAGCTAAAATTTCATAATACAACAAATAAAACACTGGTGTTATTATACCTACTATCAACATTATCACGACAGCTGTCCACCACCCTATTCCCCAGTCTGCTCCATAATAGGGATCTTTACGTTGAGTGTTTTTGTTATCAGGTTCAAAATGTATTTGTTGTGCTGTTAAGGCCGATACTACCTCATTGAGGTTCTCTCTCTTATTGTCTGTACACTTTACTATTTGTTCTATGTCTCGGTCTACTTCTTTTAAAAAGCTACCAGCTGAGTCACTGTAAGCAAGAGAATCATTAGCTGGCAAAATTTCCTGTTGTTCGGAAGAGTATTGAACAGATGAATGACGTGAAGTCTGTCTTCCTTTTGGAGGACAAAGTGTTTCGGTCAAGGAACTGAACTTTTTTACTGGAATTTTGATAGACCTAAGGGCAAAAAAGTCTTGATCACTGATGAGATTGTTAACTCTCTTGATATCTGCTACCTGTAAAAAAAAAAAAAAAAAAAAAAAGGCAACATACAACTGAATTCTAAATCAAAATAAAGGTAGCAATAGTCATTCATCCTAGTTACTTTTGGAGGAAAAAAAAAGTTGAACTTAATTATTAGTAGTATTAAGTTGCACCCAGAGAAATTTTAATTTTATTTGTAGATGAGAATTCTACATCACTTTAGATCTACCAATCTTAGGAAATCACTACTTTCTACTATCACCCACATATATTTGTAACACTAATTAATGCTATTTAAGTAAATCCTAGAATCCTTTGCTGCTTCCCTTTGTGCATCATGCATAAATACCACAGTCCTTCTACTTGTAAACAATTTGTGAAGGAAGGATTATGGGTAGTTATCTTCTTTATTCCAATTTGGAAACTGGAATATAGACAAATGCTACCCAACTAAAACTACCATATTTTATCAAAACTAAGATGCCATAACTCTTAAGATGCAGCATTATTTTATGTATATCCAGGGGGAAACAAAAAACTTCACCAAAATTTGAAGATGCCACCATTCAAAAAAAAGATGCTAAAATGTGTGGAAAAGCATATATACTTTAGAATTTAAAAAACTGGTAATTTATCCCCCTTACTTCTGAAGCCATTTCCACCCCCCCCACCACAAACTTCTCAGTGTAAATGCATTATTCAACTACCTTCAAGACTAATCACATAAGCTTTTTCTCTATATATTATATATTCCTCAACCTGTTTGTATTATCCCATCCACTGTGAGATAACCTGTCTGTACATCCTATTCCACTGTGTTGGGGGAAGAGGGGAGTGTCTGGCAGATTACCAATTGGTATGCCAGGTTCTCCCACCATCTATTAGTCCCATTCATTTCCATCAATGCTTTAATCTAAAACCTAATCATGTAACACCTGATTGATGTCAGAGAGATAAAGTGGGTCTAGTATGAAGCTTAGATTTCTGGTTTGGTCAACTTGAGGGATGATGACATTCATTAAGAAATGGAACACTGTGGAGGGTAAGAAGAGGATGAATGCAGATTTTAGACATGTTGACTTGGAGCTGCTTGAGATACACAAGTGGAAGATGTTCAGGACAGAGTTGTAGATATATGTCTGAAACTCAAGAACGATCTCAGCTGGAGACACAGATTTGTGGACTATCAGCAAAAATATAATTGAAGTCGGCCAGGCATGGTGGCTCATGCCTGTAATCCCAGCACTTTGAGAGGCGAGGCAGGTAGATCACTTGAGGTCAGGAGTTCGAGACCAGCCTGGCCAACATGATGAAACCCCATCTCTACTAAAAATATAAAAATTAGCCAGGCATGGTGGTACGTGCCTGTAGTCCTAGCTACTCGGGAGGCTGAGGCAGGAGAATTACTGGAACCCGGGAGGTTGTGGTTGCAGTGAGCAGAGATTATGCCACTGCACTCCAGCCTGGGCAACAGAGCAAGACTACATCTCAAAAAAAAAAAAAAAAAAAAGTAATTGAAATGAAAGAGGTCAAAGAGTAGACAGATTCACTAGAAAAAGCCTGGGAGAAAAAAACAACAAGATCCCTAAGGAACTTCAACATTTGATGGGTATGCTGAGTAACAGAAATCCACAAAGGAGATGAAGAATGGCCAGGAAGGGAATATACAATAGTGGTTAAAAGCATGGATAACTGGGTTTGAAGCATGGCTTTGACACCTTCTAGCTGTATGGCCTGGGGCAAGTTGTTTAACCTCCTTGCCATTAAGTTTCCACACCTGCAGTATGGCAGTAATAATACTACCTACATTATAGGGTTGAGGTGAACATTAATGATTTAAATTTTGCAGGACACTCAGAACAGTGATATATAGTATGCCATATAAAAGTTAGCTATTATTAAATGTTAACAGTAGGAAAACCAGACACCTGAAAATTCAAGGTGGTCAAGCAGAGAGGGTCTTTATGAGGGAGTAGTGAACAGAATCAACTGTAGATTCGTGATCAAGTACAATGAAGACTAAAAGAGGTCAAGCTGGAAAAATTATCTTGCAGTGTATGTGTGGGGGGATTAGAAAGAAAGGGTTGAACAATAACTAAAAGATGAAACAGTAAAGATAAAGGGTGTTTTATCATCTTACTACCTTCACACTGTTTTGTCTTACAGCAAATGAAGATTCACTGACAAATCCCAAAGTTTGACCCCATTCTCTTTAAATGCTCTTTTGCTTGGTATTGTGTACTCCTACTAATCTACTTAATACTCTTTTTGAATTAGGGTTCCAAGGTTTAGTATCTACCTAAGTTATCTCTCTGAATATCCCTATAATGATTTCTATGCTATGCCAACTTCCTTGGTTGCATTCAAGATTCCAACCTTGGACTTTTTATTCTTCTCATCAGTTGTGTAACTGACAGATTTTTAATAATTCTTAAGATTATTTCTAAGTGGAATATACCACTAACTACTTACTGTATTTTTTAAATGATAAATCCTTTTATAATAAATTTTATAATTTTTTTGTTGCTTATGCTCCCATCAAAAAGATGCACTGCTTATCTTAACTAATTCTGTTCATCACCTTTCCCACTATAGTGGCTGATATGGTTTGGGTATGTGTCCCCACCCAAATCTCATGTCATCTTATAATCTCCAATGTTGGAGATGGGGCCTGGGGAAGGTGATTGGATCATGCAGGTGGATTTCCCCCTTGATAATGTCCTGAGTTCTTGTGAGATCTGGTTGTTTAAAAGTGTGTGAAACCTCCTCTCTCACTCGCTCTTCCTCCTGCTTCAGCCATGTGAAAATGCCTGCTCTGGCTTTGCCTTCTGCCACGAGTAAAAGCTCTCTGAGGCCTCCCCAGAAGCAGATGATGCCTGCTTTACGTAAAACCTGCAGAACCAATAAACCTCTTTTCTTATAAACTACCCAGTCTCAGGTATTTTTTTACAGCAATGTGAGCACAGACTAATACAGAAGCCAATGCCATCTCTCCATTAATGTTAAGCACTTTTCATCATTCTCATTTCACATAAGCAATCAACTGATATATCCTGTGATTTTCCCCAATACATTTTTTAACACTTCTTTATCCTTATCACAAATATTTTAGTCTAAGTCCTGATCATCTTTATTATTCCAGTAATCTCTTTATTGGATCCCCTTCAATTCATCAGCAGGCCCCTCTGTTGTTCTGCATCAATCCTGTTAAAACCCTACAATAACTGTATTCTCTTACTATATGGATCAAACTTTTCCATTCTGTATCACTCCTGTTAAAATCTTACAATACGTATTCCCTTACTGTATGGATCAAACTTTTCCTCAGTGTCTCAAAGCATTTCATCCCAAATAGTCTGTGCCACTCATTTCTGAAATACCTACAAAAATTCCCTTTGTTGTTTACCATATTTCCTCCTTGAAATCTTTACATCACTGTTGAATGCCTGAAACATCCTTGTACCTCATTGGAAATATGACCTATTTTTAATTATTCAGATGGTATGTTAAATTTTCCTAAAATAATTTTCTAGGTTCATTAAAAGAAAGCTAATATCTTATAAAACCTCTGAACCACAAACCACATCTGTACTTTGATGTTTTTAGCCTTGTCTCTCATTTTGAAGTCTATTCCACCATCTACCTTCTATGACATATTCTGTAATTTATTTATCAATGGTCTTATTTCTCTACAAAACATTTACTCACATATTTATTTACATTTAGAAATAAACTTAGATATATTGTGATGTAATAATGGCAAGAATTGATGTTGCCATACACGAGCAAGGTAGGAGGAAAAAACTACCCAGCTCTTTTACATCAAAAAAATTCATTTTAATAAAATATTTTATTAAATTTTAAAATCAAAATTTGTAATGTTTTGATGAATTATGAATTGTAATAAGAAATGTGAATTATTGCAATAGTTGCAAATGTAGAAAGAAATACAACCTCATGACCATAATTTTTTTGGAATATAAATATATATAAATACATTTATATAATATAAACTTATAGATGTATGTTCCTATGAAAGTATTACAGGTAGTCAATAAGAGGTTTTTCAAGTATAAAAATACTTTATATCATGAAAAATTTGGGGGAAAGATGAAAATATTAATGAGAAAAAGGGATGATATAAAATCTCATGCTATTAATAAAAGAGCTCTCATATACACACTTTCCACTTTTTAAAAAAATACCAATTTCAGGTAGCAAATCCTGGAAGTACTTAGAATTCTGTGGATGCATTTAAAGAGCACTCTAATAGTCTTATTTTTAAATGTTAATACAACATTCTGAAAATTATACACTTTGTAACTATTTTAAGTCATGAGGAAGAATTTAAGTTCACTTAAAAATGTGCGAGGAGGTACACAGTACATATATTTCAAAATTCTGTTGGGAGTATGAGAACAAAAAGTTTGAAAACAAATGTTCTAACCAGTTTCCATATCAATGTGGATATAAAAATATCCTGCTAAGGCCTCAAAATGGGCATAATAACACAGACAGAAAAAGGGTCCAAATAGAGTACAGTGTCTATTAAAATAAAAAATACACCATTCCTCTTATCTGGCAATCCCACTTTTGGGATCTATCCCACAGAAATAAAGGCACTGCCATTTAAAGATACAGTTGTGATGATATTTGCCACACAAGGTAAAACACCAAGAAAATCCTGAGTATCAATTAATAGGGCAATGGCTTAAAAATACTGGAACATTGATACTACAGACATTATACAACCATTTAAAATAATAAGTTAGATCTATAAGGCTTTGAGGGATGGTCATGAAGGTGTCCATGATACATTAAAAAATGAAAAATGCAAGTTGCAGAGTAAAATGCGATACAATCCACGTTTAAAAATACAAAGATTACTAACTCTCCAAAACATGTATATATAAATAAATACTTATGAGCACAAAAAAAGGTACAGGAGCATGCCAAAGTGTTAACACTGGTTATCAAGAAATTGGGACAGGGAAAAACTTTTCCTTATACATTTCCACATTTTTTTTACCACTTGAATAAGAAGATAACATAGTTAAGTGTTGATTTCAATACTGAAATCCGTGGATTTGGAAATACACAGAAATTCAAGTATTTGTTAAAATTTTAAAAAGTAAACATTTACGAATGTGACACAGAAATTCAAGTATTTGTTAAAATTTTAAAAAGTAAACATTTACAAATGTGACACAGACACAGATTTCTTTTCTCTTTTTTTTTTTTTTTTTGAGACGGAGTCTTGCTCTGTCGCCCAGGCTGGAGTGGAGTGCAGTGGCGGGATCTTGGCTCACTGCAAGCTCCACCTCCTGGGTTCACGCCCTTCTCCTGCCTTAGCCTCCCAAATAGCTGGAACTACAGGCACCTGCCACTATGCCCGCCTAATTTTTTTGTATTTTTAGTAGAGACGGGGTTTCACTGTGTTAGCCAGGATGGTCTCGATCTCCTGACCTCGTGATCCACTTGCATCAGCCTCCCAAAGTGCTGGGATTACATGCGTGAGCCACCACTCCCAGCCCATGTGATACAGATTTCCATGCAAAAAATAATAAGAGCAAAAAATGGAGAAAGGAATAAACAAGGTAAAAAAGGACATGGAATTTATTTCAGTGTGGGTAAACAAATAATTTCTTATGGATTGCATTATGTGATATTAAAACTTACCGTACAACAGTACTGCAGGGCTATTGCATTTAGTGTATCTCCTTCTTGTATATCTTTTGTTAGTACTATAATGTCATCAAGTCTATCTCTTGATGTACTTCTTCGGACCTTCTCTTTTCCTCTGGATCGAAGCTCATACACTTCAGCATCCTCCTCCAACATATCACTGTCTGAACAATTTCCAAATGCATGTACTTGACCACTTGACTGAACTCCTGGAAGAGGAAAACTACGATTCTGATGCCTTCCTGCCATAATGTTAAAATCTAGAGGGAAAAAAAAGCAGAGAAAATTTTGGAATGTAGCTGATCCAACTGACTGACTGCATGTATCGTACATTCAGGACACAATCTTTTGTTTTTGTTTTAATGGTATTAGTTATTTAAACATTAGGTTTAAGTTTTTTTTTTTTTTTTTTTTTTTTT